TAACAACAAACATATTATGACATCAAAGGAGCTTCTTCAATCAATGTTAAGATGATATCGAAATATCTTAAAAGAAAAAAGGTAAATATTTAAAAAACAAATTACAGCTTAATTGGTTGACTATCTCCTTGACAATACCATAGTAGTACATGTACCATGGTATATCATAGTTTGTTAAACAACTTTCCAGATTTCCCCTCAAGAAAGTCTTTGTTCACTTGTATTCCATTTGATTATGCTTTTTACCGAATCGGATCGCTTCAGTAACAAAATGTCCTGGAAGGTTAATTTTTTTCCTTATTTCACCAGTTGTAGGCAGAATTCCAACAACATTTTTATCACTAACGTGTGTCAGTATCATATGAGCCAGGCCACATGAAAAGGGGTCTTATCACAGATTTTTTCAATATTCTGATTTTTTGTTTATTTAGTAAGCACAAAGAGACCTTTCAAATGAGCCATGGCTTATGTCTTAACAATTTTTCCCTGCATATATAGACCAAAAGTCGGATTTGAATTCAACACATTTTCCTCTTAATCTTGGGCACATTTTTTGGCTCTGTAGCACAATTCTAATTTTTGTGATAAGACCGGTCTTCCTATGGCCAGGCTCATATGTTTAAGAAAATGTACATGTTTGCGAACAAATAGTTTAGTTAGACAACAGAATCGTCAATTTGATACCTCACTGTTACATAAACGGAACTTCAAAAACTGTTAAGATCTCCATTTACGTAACAATAGTGAGGTATAAAGAGACGATTCTGTTATGTTCATGTAATATATAATGTTTTTTAAACTTAAAACTGATCAAAACGTTCAAAAATCATTTGAATGATATATGAATTGATAATATAACATTAAATTACTCAAACATGCCAAAGGATGAGTCGTCCAGGTGATGAGTTGTCTAGGGGATGATTTGTCCAGGTGATGAGTTGTCTAGGGGATGAGTTGTCTAGGGGATGATTTCTCCAGGGGATGAGTTGTCTAGGGGATGAGTTGTCCAGGGAATGAGTTGTTTAGGGGATGAGATGCCCAGGGGATGAGTTGTCCAGGGGATGAGTTGTCTAGGGGATGATTTGTCCAGGGGATGAGTTGTCTAGGGGATGAGTTGTCTAGGGGATGATTTGTCCAGGGATTAGTCGTCTAGGGGATGAGTTGTCCGGTTAACATGGATAGTAACCTGTGTACGTGTACGACCATCTAGTGAAGTTTCCATATTATGTCCATCGGCCATTTTTTATAATCCGTTAATGTTATGTTCTCCGATGGCTTGAGTGCATCATATACACTGTAACCTCTTTTGAGCATGCTCTGTATGAGCTGCCGGGCATTCTCATCGATATATGCTGTATGCGCCCATTCCATATATATCTCTTTGAAGGTTACTGCATTGAGGAGTTCGTTTGCTTTTTTAAATGCATGAGCCTCCGACCCTTCAATATCAATTTTCATAATGGCTTTTTTGAAATTCACAAACTGGAGGGTGTCATCAAATACTATAGATGTCACGGTCTCGTTTACAAGCTTAAGCTGCTGAATTCCCTCTGATGTGTTCAACTTCAATACTGACGTGCCTCCAACATTTTCAGGTAATCCACTTGATAAGTCCTGCCTGAAAGTGAATGCTGTATGGACATCATAGACCGCGTTGTGTAATAATGTTAGGTTTTCGTGAATGTTATTTAGTTGAACCGATCGAGTGATTCTATCAATACATCCTTTCATAGCCTCAATAGCGACAACTTTCGTCCCAAGTTTTAATGCAGGGATAGTATACGCACCAATATTCGCACCAACATCAAAAAATCCCCATGTGGGATGTCTCTTCAGTTGACCCATAATGAGAGTTACTATCGGTTTCTCCCAATAGCCGTCATAGCCGAAAGTCTTATGAAAGGTGCCAGATACAGATCGGTCCTCTTTTATTGTATACGTACATAAAGGAAATGGTCTTTTGAAAACAGTATCTAGGCTAACATTTGGGCATGGGAACTTTGTATTTATTTCTAAGACGGTGTCGATTCGATTAACTTGGGCATTTGTAATACTCAATCTATGTTTGTTTTGAATCCGTTCACCATTTTTTTCTGTTCCGTCATAATTGCTTTCCTTATTCTTACGAAGATCATTAAGTGATTTCATTATTTCATTTTGGTTGTAAAAAACCGTAGCTTGGTTTTTGGGAATAGCATTCAGTGATTTCATAATATTATTTTGGGGATTTAGAATCACCGGTTGGTTGTTTAGAATGGCACTCAGTGTTTCTTTAATATCATGTTGGTTATTCAAAATCATTGCTTGGTCGCCGAGTATAACGTTTGGCTGAATATTGCCTTTTTGACTATAGTTCACATGCGACCAACTTGGCATCCATATTTTAAATGCCAACGATGCAGTGAGAAGGATCAAAACTCCTGAAAATACGAAATGTTTAAACCACGAGTGTAACAGATATAGAGGTTATTTACTGGGAGGGATTGAATATGGATTTTATTCCGAGGGACTGTATGATACTTCCCGAGAGTCCAGAGGGCTGTGTGAGAAGGATTGGGACGGACAATATCAATACTAGAAATATTCCCTGGTATTATTCAACGGGAAATAGTAATAGAAATTATTTATAGGCGTTCCAAGCAAAAACATTATAAACGTTTAATTACTTATTGAAGGAGCACTTTGAGTGCTTGTATAAATAAAAATCAATCATTATGTTTACCTTGATAGATTTTGATTCTATATTTTGAAAATGCCATAACATACGTTCGAATTGTTTCCAGGCAAGACAACGATTGACGCGACTCAATATCCAAGTGCTCACTTTTAACCGTACGTCACAATTGTAACACGGTACAGAAATATCGCTTTCAATTCCCTGCAGGTGAATAGGTCCTATTCATATGCTTACTGAATCAATAATACGGAATATGAGAACTTACAGTGTCACAGGCTGGTATCGAAAGATTTGTCCGCTGTGACGGAGCATGCTATTTTTCATAAAAACACTAAGAATGCTCCACGATTTATTTTTTAACTCATATGTTTCGTTATATCAAAGATAATTACTTACTCCATCCATGCAATGGATATATCATTTGCGTGTAACCTTCACTTCTGTTTGAAGTCCAATAACGCTAGGAGTAAAATCTATTGAAAACGGCGCCAGAGTATCAAACTCTAAAATGTACCATTTCTTTTTTAACTTTTTAATGGCATGATATAGTGACACGATACTATTAACATATGTTTTCAGCATAACTCTGAATGTATTAATGAGATATTAATGCATTGGATCTTTTTAATTTTTTTATAAAAAATAATATTAATATTTTTTGTTCGCTGTGACAGAGCATTTTCACAGTTCACATTTGCAACTGCTCCGTCACAGCGGACAAAAAAAATAAACATTATTTTTTATAAAATAATTAAAAAGACCAAATACATCAACATCTCATTTATACCTTCATAGTTATGCTGAAACCATGTGTAAATATTATCGTGTCACTATATCGTGTCACTATATCGTGCCATTAGAAAGTTAAACAAGAAATGGTACATTTTGAAGTATGATATTCCGGCGCCATTTTCAATAGCTTTTCTTCCCAGCGTAATTGGATTTCAAACAGAAGTGAAAGTTACCCGCAAATGATACATCCATTGCATGTAGTAAGTAATTTGGTATGGTATAACGAAACATATGAGTTAAAAAATAAATCGCGAAGTATTCTTAGTGTTTTTATGAAAAATAGCATGCTCCGTCACAGCGGACAAATATTTCGATACCAGCCTGTGAGTGTATATAGTCAGATAACAAAATCAATAGACGATTGACATGCACATGTATAATAAACAAACATTTCGTTTAATTTAGTCCCTGGTCTGGTCCCTCTGAAAACAAAAAAAACTATGCATAGAGCCTCTTTAAGTTTTTTTTGTCTCTTCCGTTTGGCGATATATATAGCTTGACACAAAACTATATGTCGAGATTTACAAATATTACGTAGCTTGACACAAATAGGCGCGCGTGGGCCTTCTATCCGTTTTAAATGACAAATGATGTTATTAGTCAAGCTACAAGACACTGGGACCACCCCCCCTCTACTTGACTACACACATCTTACACAGATGTAAGGAGGTGCTTAGTGTTAGTTCACACCAACGGCGCGCGCTTTGATGGCGCTTTAATTAATGTGGCGTGCAAAGCCGCTTTGCACGCTGCTTTAAAGCGCCATCAAAGCGCCATTGTCGTGAACTTAGCTTTAGGAGACGGTCGCAGGGGCTTTTAGTAATGTTTTTTTTATTGCTGTTACAGTAATACTGAATAGAAGTAGCTAGAAATGAGACAGTCGAGGCAATTGCATAACCAAACTGATTTACAGAAAATATATCGATTCAGTTTTTTATTCCAAAATTCCAGTACCAGTTATGGACATACGACATTTATATATTCTGTCCAGCTAATTACAGAAGATAAGCATGTATTTATTTTATATATTCATCTTTGGACAATACTAATAGCTGACAAACCTTAAGGTATATATTGATATTTCACTACACTTCAATAATTTTGCCTGAATTTTTGCATATAATTACAGTAGATATTGATATTTTGCTAGTGTAAGCTCTTTTAAAACCATTTACTCTAGACAAATTTTGCCTAGATTTTGAGATATTATCAAGCTCAAGGCGGATTGGCTCCCAGGATCGAACCTCGATATTTTGCAACAATGAAAACGTCGAAATGTCGCTATTTTCTGAAATTTAAACCGACTTTAAATTCAAATGATCCTCTCTTGTGAATTTTGTAACTTTTCCAAAATTCACGATTCAAATGTTGAAGTGAAAAGGGGGCTATTTGAATTTTGTATCACAACATGCCCATATATGGGACAGAATATCGATGTTTCACTCAGGAAGCCAATCCTCCTTGTATCAAGCTCAAAAAGGTATTTTTCAACTTGCTTTAGATTGACTATGATTTTAATTTTGTAATCATTTCGTAGATAAACGTTCTTTTCATGGAATAAAAGCTCAAACTCTTCTTATCATCATCCTCATTTCTCTAAATGAGTAGGCATAATTATCTGGACTACCTATCCTTTGTGGCCACCGATGCCAATACATGCATTTAAGTCTCACATCACATCGTGATGAAGACATGTAAGGTCCATATAGGTGAGCATATGTGCAGCTTTTATGCCACCATGCTCCCAACCTCTGGGTGGCACAGTTACCACTACTCCTTGTATCATGGTCTTGGTCCCTCGTACTAAACTTCATGTTGTTGTTGTACCACATGCTATCGCCTGCTGTTCCAGAATATCCCGACACAGTGATTCTGAATTGCTCACTCTCTCCTGCCAGATCGAGCGTACTGTACTCTGCATATTTTGTAACACTTCCTTGATCCGGCCAAGTAGTAAGCTCAATACGGAGTTGATAACTTCCATGCTTTAAAACGGACAATATATGATTAAATCCCAAGAAATATTCCCCGTCAACGTCTCCAAATCCGCTTTTGTAATCTTCCCAGTTTCTGTAGAAGTCAACCGACCCATCAAACCTCTTGGCGAAAACAAGCCAACCGTTGAGACATTGCGTTTGGAAGACTGTATCGTCCATTGTTGTAATGAGTACATTACCATCTAGTTGATCATTACAGTCTCGTACAACAGCTAAATACAAAAGTTAAACATGTATTTATTTTATATTTATTTTATATTTGATTTATATTATACGGTATCTTAGGTATAACGACATACATTGTATGATTACTATAATACTATAACTAACAAACTATAGGGAATTGAGTTAAATTTAACAGATTTAAGAATTATATATTGATATATAAAACAGGAATGACCTCTTCTATCAGGAGGATTGTATTATAAGTTATTGAATGATTTCAAGTGCAATACAAGATATATTCTGCTCGAGAAATTCCGTATTGGAACGAGACGAAGTCGAGTGTCAATACTGAATATCGAGAGCAGAATATACCCTGTATTGCACTTCAAATCATTCTATAACGTTTTTATCGTGTTATCCTCTGTATTGCTACTGAGAATTTCCCCTCCGTACCAATATTTTCTGTAATGCGATGGATATGATCAATGTGAACAATCTCAGTAGCAATACAGATTGGTACAGCACAAGAACTGACCAATCAGAGAAGGCTTCATTTTACAGATCATACGATAATTGTTGATCTTGGTATAATCAAATTAATCGTGATAGTTGAACGCGCAGGGTAGGTACAACGCAGGTAATCTTAAACGTTCAACTACCACGCTTAATTTGGTACACACCCTGTGATAATGATGCTGATTATTTCTACATTTATTTTACGATATAATAATAAATGATTATACTTTCATTAAAGTTGATGCAGAATGTCCCACGACATCCAGATGCTGTCCATAAGATTCCTTCGCTGTATTGTATTCCCCAATTTCCTGTACAATCCGCTCTGCAACAAATATTAATACATGACAAATTAATAAACGGTCAAAAAGTTTATGTGATTTTGATTGGTTAATAATTAGCTAGGACATGCGTACCCGCTGATGAACACCAACTCAATCTGCTAACAGTAGATTAAGGTACGAATTTTAGACAATACATTCATTTATCTTGACAGCATCTTCGACTTCCAATGTGAAGTTGGAGCAACTGGAACTTTGTGAATCAAGATGTCTTGACAGTGAGATGCATAAACGCACGTTTGAAGAACGAAATACAAATGACATACTGCTTTACAGGTGACGAGTTTCCAAAAATAAGCTTAATACACCCTTTGAAAGCCGACAGTATCAGCTTTAGGAATCAGACCTCCATTTGAATTTTCGGTGAATGCAGAAATAGATATTAACCCTTTCATCCATAAGGGGTCATTTATTAATTTTATCAAAACCAATTTCAAAAGGAAAAATACCCAATGGCCAAAATGGATTATTTTTAGGTTTACTAACTTATTCAATGTAAATTTATACTTTAGAGAATATTTTGTATCCAGATAGGCTGAGATGAAGATCATGCATTAAGAAAGTGCTGTAAAATTGTGACTATGGAGCAGATGGTCCTGAAATAACAATGGCTGGTAGAAAATTGAATGATGTACACATGAGCCAAATATTAGGGAGTGATTTACTTAAATGACAAAGAAATGGGGAAAATAGCGCCAGGGTTACCATTCTTGACCAACCTGTAAAATGAATAAATTGACTAATTTTTTAATTACCTTGATTTCTTCTGCTTCAGAACTGCGGAGTGAAAATTGAGGTTTCTGAGGTGTGGAGCATTGTCGAATATCGCACATGTAGTATTTATTCTATTCATACTCTGACATGTGAAACAATGGGTACCTATTGAATAAATAGAGTATTAAAGGCCCACTATACTTATTTAGGAAGAAAAAAAATCATTGAAACATGTTACTCCCACTCTCACTCAAATATGACACACAGCTAAATTTGCCTTAATATTGAACCAAGAAAAAAATAACTCACATATGTTTATGTTTATGTCTCTTTATTTCCCCCTTGTTAAGGAGAGCATAGAACAAAGTAATACAGTTAGCACAATAGTAATTAATTCAACATTTTAAAAACGGGGGTTTTGAATATGTCATTTACATTTGTCATCCATACGCTTTTGGGTTTTAGGGGCCCACTTTTTGTCTCTGACCTGAAATTTGCCCCCCCCCTGTTGGTTCCCAGATCCGCCATTGATCCTTTCTTACCTTCCGAGCATCGAGCACCTGTGATTCCGCTTTTACAGAAACATTTATAGTTCCCTCCGAAGAGATTTATGCACTCTCCCCCATAACAAGGATTTGATGCACACGCATTTTCTGAAAAAGAAAAACTAGTTAATGCATGCAGGCCTTCGTTGAAAATGCTGACAGGCATTTATATTATTTTATATTTATATTTTCCACTGAATAGATCTATGCATTCTCCTCCAGTACAAGGATTTGATGCACATGTATTTTCTGAAAATTAAAATAGTTAATGTCATGTAGGCCTTCGTTGAACATTTTTATTTCCCACCAAACAGATTTATGCATTCTCCCTCATTACAAGGATTTGATGCACACGTATTTTCTGAAAAATAAAAAAATAGTTAATGTCATGCAGGCCTTCGTTAACAAAGCTGACAAACACAAACATTTATATTTATGTATTCTCCCCCATAGCAGGGATTTAATGCGCATGCATTTTCTGAAAGAAAATCATATCCTATGCAATCACGGAAATCATTAATTACAATTATTTTGCCATATATTTTAGATCATTTATATATAGACTCACCTGGAGTCTATTGTTTTGGCCATTTTTTATTAGACTATAGTTGAGACAATTTCTTTCCGCTATTTTTCTGCAAATATTATATACAGGGTGGTCAAAAACGGAAACCCTGCATTTCCCCCATGTCTTTCTCATTTTAAAAAATTACTCCCTGATATTTCACACAATTGTAAATCATTCAATTTCCTACTACCCTACCATATTTCATGACCATCAGACTGAGAGTCACACTTTTAAAACACTTTGAACAACATACTTCAGGTTTGGCCATCATATTCATAGCGCTGTAGGCAAACCTTCACAGTTGTCAGTGATCCAAATAGTCCCTGATCTGGACCCTCTGAAAAAAAGTTTTGTTGTCCGGTACTTTCCCACATAAAATGACTGTACCGTTTGAAAGAACAGACTCCCCTCTTAAAGAAAACACCTCTTCTATTGATGTAAACAGGGGCAAAAGGCACCAAAACGGGGTTAGACAAGGTGGCATTCTGAAGTCTCACTTTCTTGTCATCACGATTCCAGGTAAACCATCAGACGGATTTACTTCAAGTTTTCACACATGTTACATGGTAAGAAGTTCTAGAGCTGATTAACTTTGCGGCGGCCATCTTGCATTCTGGCGGCCATCTTGGAATTTTTTTCCGATAAATATTGTCATCGCGATTCCACAAAAAACACATAACAGATGTACTTTAAATGTTCACACATGTTACATGGTAAAAAGTCCTAGACCTCATTATTTTTTCGGTGGCCATCTTGCATTCTGGCAGCCATCTTGGAAGTTTTAAGATAACTCTTGTCATCACGATTTCAGGAAATCCAAACGGATTTACTTCAAATTTCCACACATGTTACATGGTAAGAAAATATAGAGGTGAATAACTTTTCGGCAGCCATCTTGCATTCTGGTGGCCATCTTGGAAATTTTGGGATAAATCTTGTCATCGTGATTCCAGGAAAACAACATAACAGATTAACTTCAAATTTTCACACATGTTACATGGTATGAAGTTCTAGAGCTGATTAACTTTTCAGTGGCCATCTTGCATTCTGTCGGCCATTTTGGAAGGTTTATAGATAAATCTTGTAATCACGATTCCAGAAAAACCACTTCACAGTTTTACTTCGAATTTTCACACATGTTACATGGTATGAAGTTCTAGAGCTGACTAACTTTTTTTATAGGTTATGTTTATTTATCAATACTATCATTTCACAATGTCCGACAATGGGCCAAGGCCATTGGCATTAGTGGCCCATGTCGATTTTCACACATACACATTTATACAATTTCTAAAATAGAGTTAAGTAGGCACATAAAAATCAGGTAATTTTAGGCTGCTGAACACTCAGCATGACAATACATGTAAGTTACATGTGACATTTTACAATTAAAGAAATAAAGTTGGCAGTTGTTGTGACAATAAGCTTGTTAGTTTCAATTTTATATGTTGAGCCACCATATAACAATGTATCTAGTTTCTCTTTTGCATTTAGTTTGTTATAATGGTTAATGTTGAAATTGGGTATCCCTGCAAGGTCGAGTGCTAGTTGTTCCCTGAGATCAAGTAAAAGGGGGCAAGAAAAGAATAGGTGTTGGGGTGTCTGAGATCGAAAACCGCACAGGCATTGAGGATTGACATTATTGAATTGATGCTGGAACTTATGGTAACGAAAAATGAAATCACATCTGGTTTTATTAAGCACTATTTCAGCTTGCCTGTCTAAATTCAAGTGGACTGTGTCAATTAGGGTCTTCTTCGGAAATAAATGTTTTTTAAGATGGTATTTAAAAGTGCGCTTTATTGGAATGGTTTTGAGTTGATCAGGTAATGTGTCCCTCTCCCATTCAGATATAGAAGAAACTACAGTACCGCGTCTAGTTTTTTCAGATTGTTTCGCGGGTACAATAAAATGGGGCGTTTTTCTTAGGGCTCGAGTTGGCCTCTTGTTTCGGTACAAATTGAAAATATTTGAAATGTATGGAGGGGCATTTACATAATAAACAGCATGCATTAATAACAGTTTATTTTCGGTGGCCATGTTACATTTCGTCGGCCATCTTGGAAGTTTTTAGATAAATCTTGTCATCACGATTCCATGAAAACCACGTAAGTTTTACTTCAAATGTTCACACATGTTACATGGTAAGAAGTTATAGAGCTGATTAACTTTCCGATAGCCATCTTGCATTCTGGCGGCCATCTTGGAAGTTTGTAGATAAATAAAAATTCCAGTCAAAGCATTTACCACCAACAAAGGATGCTCTCATTCTCCATATAAATAGAGCAAACTATCAGGACTATATTTGGCGAAACGCAGGCAAATCAATGATTGATTATCAATCCCCCACATTACATGGTTGGACATTCAAAGGGAATAAACTACAAATTAAGTGGATGGAAAACGGTCCTGCCCCACAAGAAATAATGGAGCTTGTTGCTTGTAGTTGTAAAGGAGCGTGTGACTCAATGAGATGTAGTTGTAAGAAACAGGATCTCATTTGTGGAAATTCATGTAAGTGCCGCAAAGGTGTGTGTGAGAACTGTCCAACCCATCAGCACGATGATGTTGTTGAGAGCGACAATGAATTTGAACCAGTTGATGACACCATTACACCAAACGTTGAAGATCAGGAAGAAAATGAATTACCTGAAAATCTCTTACCTGACAACTGGATGAACCAACTTGTCAAAGTTGATGCCATAATATGAATTATCTCACCCTGTATATACACTGGTGATCCGCTCGATTACATGTACGATTTGTCCTTATTCCTTATTTCATACGTTGTAGGCAGAATCCTCTCGACGTTTTTTCTCACAAACGTGAATCAGTATCATATGTCTTAGAAAATGTACATGTTTGCGAAAAATAGCTCAGAAGACGACAGAATTGTCGATTTAATTCCTATCTTAAGTTACATAAAGGTTTGGGTTAAAAGTGCAGATCTGAACTGTTTTTTCGAAATACCGTTTATGTAACTTAAGTGAGGAATTAAATGTACGATTATATTGTCTTCTGAACTATCACTATAATATACTTAAGTAGTCTTTAATAATGTAAGGGAGGATGAGTTGTAAGGCATACTATGTCTTGTTAGATCATGATCTATACTATTTTTATTACAATTTACCAGTTACACTTTCTCCATGCTAGGTTTTGTTATAACTTTTGTTCCGTTTCCTATGGCATCCGTGCTTTATACATTTACATTCACAATGGTCCCTTCCTGGTATATTTTTTTTAGGTTTAATGACTGTTAAATTCTATAGTCTTGTTAAGACCACTTTAGTATTACTTTTATGACTGTTAAATTATATAGTCTAGTTAACACCACTTTATAAACAGGTTTATTATTACTGGTGTAACTAACACAAAGAAAAAATATAATTAATTTATTTGATTTTATATAACATGAAATTAATTTTTCTTTTCGATAAAACATTGCTTATTAGAAATATATTTAGTTGAAACTTAGAGTAAACAATCAGTTCTTCGTTTATTTTGGTTCAGTAGATTTTTCTATACACTATTTTTATGTCACCACCACTAGTGATTGGGTGACATATTGTAATAGCTTCGAACGTTTATCTTGACACTGTTCAGTAATTAATGTGTACTGTATCTTTAACAAGGTGTGGTGACATTTTGCATGTTTCTGCATCGTCACTACTATTGAAAGCTTATGTTGATATTGTAGCAGTTTTTTTAAGTTCTTTTTGTTGGTACAATTAGTTTCCAAACCCTATACTTATATCGATCTGACACACAGTTTTAGTGCAGGTTTAAGTGATTTTTGTTGATTATTAAACGCAAAGAGCACATGTGTCTCGAACTCGCAACATTGTGGATACAGAGTCCATTTACATAGTTTGACATGCTGGTGCTCTGAACCAGCTCGATAGTTGATATCTGACTAAGAGACAGCTTGCTTTCCCGATGAAGAAATGTTATCTGCAGCTTTTATGAGTACTATAGTATCTTCAACTATTTTTGATCTTATGAGTATTGGATATCATTATTTTCAATTTTTCTTCAACATGTATTTTAATGACTTCAGTATGAATGGAATGTCCCTCGGAGTTGTGGTCGTTGATGAGGAATTGGTCATTGAACGGTGTGGATGCTGTTTATTCCCATATTAGATTATTGTCTTGGGATATTCAGGTTTGATTTTTGTTTGCCAGTTTTACACTTTACAGTTTGCTTTTCCCACTAGGTTGCTTTACACTTTTTCCCCTTTTCATTTGTCATTTTTGTTTATATTTAGTAAGGATATGATACGCAGGTCTCTCCTTCTGTGTGATCACCTGTCCAGAAGATAATTCAACTGCATGAAGAACATTTCGTTGACATGATGCACAGTGAAAGGTTTTCCACACATTTACATTTTCGTTTAAAAGAGCTTTAATTCCGTTATATTCTCAGATCAAGGCCAATTTAGCATACATTTCGCTCTCAAAAATCACTGTGCAATAATGGATTTCAAAGAAATGTTTGACGTTTTCAATAATCTTTTTTCTTTTTGATGAAATGTAGTTATTTATTCTAAAAATCAATCGATGTCATACACAAAATGCATTTAAGTGGTATAAAGTACAGAAGCAGAGTAAAAATATGTATTTTAGAATATCACCATGTGTTACCCCATTGTAGCGCCTCTTGCCCATGTTTCTATCAATATAAAACATGATATCATACACCAAATATGCATTTATGTCAAATTATGTGGTTTAAAATACAGAAAAATAGATAACATTCTCCTAATAATACCACCTTGTGTGACCCCACTTTACTGCCTTTTGCCCCTGTTTATATCAATATAAAAGGTAGCATGTAACATTCCTTGTAACTTGTGTAAAAGTTTCAAGAAAATCAGTAAAGTGGTTTTCCTGGCATCACAATGACAAGATATATCCAAAAAACTTCCAAGATGGCCGCCAGAATGCAAGATGGCCACCGAAAGGTTAATTAGCTCTAGAACTTCTTACCATGTAATATGTGTGAAAATTTGAAGTAAATCCGTTTGGTTTTCCTGAAATCTTCAAAGATGGATGCCAGAATGCAAGATGGCCACCGAAAAAATAATGAGGTCTAGGACTTTTTACCATATTACATGTGTGAACATTTGAAGTACATCTGCTATGTGGTTTTTGTGGAATCGCGATGACAATATTTATCGGAAAAAAATTCCAAGATGGCCGCCAGAATGCAAGATGGCCGCCGCAAAGTTAATCAGCTCTAGAACTTCTTACCATGTAACATGTGTGAAAACTTGAAGTAAATCCGTCTGATGGTTTACCTGGAATCGTGATGACAAGAAAGTGAGACTTCAGAATGCCACCTTGTCTAACCCCGTTTTGGTGCCTTTTGCCCCTGTTTACATCAATAGAAGAGGTGTTTTCTTTAAGAGGGAAGTCTGTTCTTTCAAACGGTACAATCATTTTATGAGGGAAAGTACCGGACAACAAAACCCCTTTTCTAGAGCCCTTTTGGAAATCAGATCGGCGACTAAAATGCATTCCTTCATTTTCTATCCTTCATGTAGAAGAACATCATAATAATATGTAGTACTAAAGCAATCAAGGATGGGGGGGGGGGAGTGGACAGGTCTTATTTATCATGTCACCATTACACAAATGGCTAATTTAAAAAGCATCAATTCGTATTTTAACTCATAGATAATTTTCATTTCGTTGTTAGTTGTTCAAAAGTGTTTGACGATAAACATTTAAAAATGGTGGCCATGTGTTATTTTACGATTTTGGCTATAACTGAAAAGGAGTTAGAGATATTGTAAAATTTGCAGCCATGGTTGTTCGTTGGGATGTGCTACACCTTGGCGTTGATGTTATCAAGTCATAGAAGGGAGAATTAGCTTACACTGTCCATATACAATATTAATTTTAAGTACACGTACATGTAGACTCCAGGCTTTGCAAAATAATATACTTACGGATCTCAGGCCACGAAGAGTTACATATTTCTACGCCTGGGACATCTGAAAACAAAGTAGAGTCATTATAGTTTTTCAAGGAAAATAACACATAGCTTGAGTCGAATTAACATTCAAGAGCATTCTAGATTATTTAGAATGTTTTCCAAGTTTCCTGATTACTCTGTGTCGGGCCCATGTGACTTCTTGTTCGGGTTGATTCCCCATAGAACCCATGTTACAAAATCACAAAAAGTTTATTATCTTCTCTTGTATTGGACAGATAACATTTTCTTTTCCCGGACATATTTTAATTTGCATAACTATTAGATACATAAGGGTTATATGAAAATTAAACCACGCAAATAGATGTAATTTAAGTTAAAGGGAACTTTCTACCGTACCCGCCATGCTATCTGACCCGAACGAGCCACCTGGTGGTGAATCTGGTAACTACTTACTCGCATCTGCGTTATTACACAAAGAAATCGTATAAAGATAAAACTGAATGGTTTTACCTTCTACACAATATTTTCCTTGTTTATGTGGAGGACAAATACACTCTATTTCGCCGTTCCAAGGGATCGCTATTCCTCCGTTACATGATCCTATAAAATAAAACAAGGACACAAAAGTGTACAACATGTCCCCACAATGGGTGATCCCAATAGATATTTCATCCTGAATGACCAACACTAATCAGTAGAAGATACAAATTTTTAGGATGAGAAATCTAAAAATTACCTTATTTACCCAGAGTTCTTCGTACTCAATTCTCTTTTGAAATATATAGTGGACTTAAATTGCTAATTTTAATGGTCACTCATAATTGTAACTACAATTGTATTTAACTATGAAATAATGAAATAAAATAGATTATAAAAATGTAAAACTACGCTGAATAACCAATATAGTTAGTGCTTCGAGTACTAATATATGAATCCTGGATAAATTGAGTAGGTTTATTACTAGTGTGGGAGCAAAAGTCCAAATAAGAGGTTCCGTGTCCTTTTTAGAGGCGAGCTAAGCGACATATGTTTTCATGAACTATACGTGATACTGATCAAGAAAAATGATGTTGGCAATTCTGAATCCGCGACGGCGTTGCTATGGTAACCAAGTAAATATGCCACCCCCACTTTTAGGGGCTCTTTTCAGTGTATTACCTCCCTTTCTCGTCGTACCACATTAACTTTATCAATTATTCTTCGCCATTCAGATTAGTTTGAAGTGTTGTGAAAACCTTTTTGGTTTTTAGATGGCCTCACAAAAGGAAATCCATAGGGGTTAAGTAGGGTGAACTTGGGGGGGGGGGGGGGGTGGCACTCGGCTGAGTTCGGATTTCAAGAGTTCCGTCACAGCCTTTAACCTGTGATGAGGAATATTGTCCTGCTTGATTGATGTACAGAAAGTGATTCTGATTATATAATAATAAAACATATTTACCTGCCAGGCAATGTTGTGAAGTTGCAAGTATCACTACTGCTACTACGTATATCAACATCTTAATCGGTCGTCGATATAAAGCCACGCTGAAAAAAGAGAAATCCGGATAGAATGAAGGACGACAATGCTAAATATTCATGACAGATTGAGGAAATATTATGTTGTGTATAATTTCAAGATCGCGGACACACCAGAGGTCTTCAAATTAAATTGACAACAAAATATACACAGCTATAGTCCAAATTGGCGGGCCAATAATACATTAAGGTAAAGAAAACAAGTTAATTAAAATGTACAAAAAGTTGCAGCCATATTTTTTTTGGTAAAGTCACAAAATTAAGTTTTCCTCAAGGTGCCATGATACTTAACAGGAAATGACGAAACAGGAAGTGACAAAACATTTTGATTTTTACACATTTTTTGAACAAAGATAACGGAGTTCTGTTTTGACCTCCAGTCAATTTAACTATTTCCACATATTATTTACATGACCAAGAGCTCAATGTGCATGGTAAGAATGACCCTAAACATGATGAAATAACCTTTTCAGCCCTTTGAAAATGTGACTGAAAAATAGCTAAAAGTAGGAGCTATAGTAAAATTTTAAATGTTTGTGAGTACTTTGATTTTGAAAAATAAGCAATCAAATGACCATATTGAAACAGTTTATGTAAAAATAGAAACATTTATATTCATCCTATTCAACTTTTGTATATTTCAGATAGTAATGTATGGCGTGCAGCAAAGCTGTGGCCTTCTGTAATTTAGGGAGTTACAGCCATGTAAATTTTTACGAAAATAACATGGCAGAGAAGTATCAAAATATAATCGGACACAGATATTAGCCTATAGCTAAACTACAGAACAAACTAAAATATACAAAAGTTAGGATAAATAAAAATGTTTCTATTTTTACATAAACTGTATCAATTCGGTCATTTGATTGCTTATTTTTTAAATTCAAAGTACTCACAAACATTTAAAAATTTACTGTAGGGAAGGTCACTGAACAGAATCATTTGAATTTTTCAGAAAATGTGCCCAATATAATGCTCTAACTGATACAATCTTTGAAATTCTAGAAAATTGTCTAAAAATATGTTGTCATAAAAATGAAATGAAATTTACCGTTACCTTGATTAACGCCCGGCAATTTTGCCCGGGAAATTAGACATCGTTCAGTGCGTAAGATTTTCTTGCTATTTCAGCCCTGGGCATCAAGGGTGGTATTAACGCCATTTCTGCGAGCAATGTAGTGAAATACTGGAAAGAGGTCGTCGGTCCAATATATACTATATCACGATATTGCCCTTCGAAATGGCGTCATATTGTACTATTCTTGACAAACGGATCAACCTAATCGTTCAACTATTATATCTGCATCCTACCTGGTCCAGTGTCGAATCTCGTCTGGAAAATGAAGCCCCTTCGTCGCTGATCTTTCTTTTCAATGGATATTAATCAGATTCCAGGAAAGAGAGCTCGGGTTTTCATGCATGAGGGGCTATTCGTTTCGCATAATCGTTGTGGAAACCTTTAATCCCTGCGGTCACAATTGCCCCGATCCATCGGCCGGCGCCCGGCCTATTGCATGGTGTATAACCCAAACGCTCCTACATGCAGGACGGAGCGCTTCATTTACGCGGAAACGCTCCGAAGCGAAATAAAATGGCGGCTAATGAAGATTCCACTATGACCGTAAGTATTGTTTTTCTCGTTTCTCTTACATATCATATGTTATGGAGAAATATTATGTACCATTCGATGAACAATACCGTGAGCAAAGATCTTATTTATTCAACTTCTGTTGGTAAACTGTTATTTGCTTGATCAAAGCTCCGTAGTGTAGCTCGAACGAATCTGAAGATGACGATTTGACCACAAATTACGAATTAAACTAGTATTTCTATGAAAACGTTAATCTTTCTGTTAAAGTAGTAGATCACAAACTCGTATATTTTCATTTCCTAAAATCCCAGTCCGAATCCATTACTTGTTCTCGAGAAATCGTTTTCCTCGAAACGCCCCGTCGATTTAGAACACAATTTTAGAAACGCTCTTACCATTTTGTTTTGATATCATTTTCAGATTATTAGAGAAGAGTTCCGAATCGAATCTATCTCTCAAAAACGTGTTGTACTTGTTAGGCAAATTGAAACATCTGAACCTGGTGGTGCTAAACGAGCTGATTTAAGCCTACATTAGATGATGTCATGCCTACATATGTGCTAAATCATAAAACTAAAGAAAAAAAACGAAGATTTACATGTGAATTAATCTTTCTTTTTTGATGCCAAGGGGTATAATAGATCTTTTTTTCTCTTCCTGAAAAGGAAAGGCAAGCTACATATTTCCTAAACTGATCTAGACTACCGGAGCGTTTCCAGTTCACTGTGTTAACCAGATCGGAGCGTTTCTTGAATATGAGAATGTCATCATTTTTAAGACTGGATTTTCGGTCATCAAATCACTATTACGATAATGCATGGTGCGTTGAAGCATTGGAATTTGACTAAAATATACGTTGGTGCTCTAATCTTGGCTCAACTAATCACATGTATCCAAGGGAAAGATCAATACCCGGTGATTTCAGCGGGAAGTGGCGTTTCGTTCAGTGGATGAGCTGCGCGCGCACGCATAAATGTGATTTTCCAATATAATTAGGGGAGGGCTATTTGAAATAGTTTTTGGTCTCAGGCGCGACCCAGGGCTGTTGTCTTAAGGACATTTCGTTGAAAATGAGCCATTCGGCTGATAATTGGTAAGAGTTTGCGATCTTATAATGTATAACTGTTACTCAGACACATATTTTGACACGATTCTGTTGGAAATAAGCTTTGAACCGAGAGATATTCACGATTGATATGCACATTTTTGATTGTGCCATTGCTTTTCCATTGCACAATCCATGTGTTGATAGAAGAAACATTAATAATGCAGATAGGTTTACCTTCAATACATGACAGACACTACATATCGGTCTATTAATACCAGTTTGTGCCTTAAATAGTTTTATATTTCCATCCACGGCCTGGAGCCTGGGTGTGTTTGTCTCTTATGTGTATGCTTGTGCATGGACTTCTAATCACTAGCAGAATTTAACATGATGCAAACTCGACATTATAACTCATGCTGTAACATTTTGACTTCGCTGGAAAACAATAGGAAATATTTTTCTTGCCAATCAATCATGAATCACAATCAAAATTTCAGAATGATCAATCAGGCAATGGTCCAAATCAAGTTATAACATTATATGATATTCAGCAAGAAGTCCGGTAGAAATACAGAATATTTAAACATCAAAGCTGAAAGTTAAAAGCTAATCTGTCAATTTCCTGTCTGCAAAAGAGGGTTCACATTTGACACAATAACAGACTGAGGCTTTGAAATCTAGGATTCCCCAGGGAAATATGACGTCATACTAATTAGCATAAGGATTTCCCTATTGGTATGGGTCGAGCCTTGTTCGAAAACACAATCCATAAATACATGCTAATTTCTAAGGAGATAGGAAGTGTATAACGTGTTTATCGATTTTGTTTAAAGATTTAATCAATTATCAAATTGTTTAAGTGGATAAAGTGGTCACACTTGCTTCAATTCATAGCGAAATCGACGGATAGAAACTGACCGAATTCCCGATATCCCACCCCGTATTACTGTAGGCTATAAGCACAGTGACCTACAGAGGGCGCTATCACAAACAAGTACTGCACGAACCGATAAATTCCCGGGTATTGTAACGCCCTTGATGTATCGACAAAAGATGTTTTTACCGGTAGAATGACAAATACGTTTTTAAATTTTGATAACTATACTGCTTAGTACAGCTCTTCCTAATTGCTTCAAACGTCAACAGCCAGCGAAGTACAACATGAATATCACACCCATCGAATGGTATACTCGAAATATGTAACTCATACATCTTATTCCCATTATTGGGGAAATCGTCAGACGGCTCATCATTCCCGCCAGCCAGTTTTCCTACTCCGGAGCGTTTCTTTGTTATATTTCAGTAAGGAAACGCTCCGTCGTGCATGTAGGAGCGTTTGGGTTATACACCGTGTATTGAGCGTTTTGTTGAAATTTGTATTCAATTTTAAACAAAATACTCAATTGGCCGGGCGCCGTAGTGAAAATCGTAGCAAATGTGACCAGGGTATTAGTGAAATTTATCTTAAAATACTGCATCAATCAAATTCCAGGAAAGAGAAGCGAGGTTTTTAATGCACGACGGGCTATTGATTCCGCATATTTGGTGGTGGTTACTCGAATCGTGTTCTATCGTTTTGCGTCGTTCTTCAAGGTTGGTAGAGGTGACGCGGTGACACTGCACAAGGATTTCTGTTCAGACAGCGAATATTTCATTACAATCAAAATCCAAATTTTGGCCATGGCTACTCTTAAGGTCAGGGTGCACGTTCGCTTGCAAAATTTCATTAGTACGTTTGTCAATTTTCCTCAGTACGGTTTTCCATTCGTTCAGTATGTTTGTTCGTACGTACCATACGTACCGTTCGTAAGGTCGTTTTGATGTTACTATGAATACTATAGTCAGGTCTTTTTTTACAGATTGTTCTAATGTAAAATGAGGAATTGCAAACACTGAAATAGTTTAAGTCATTCTAAAGTATAAATTAATAGATTTTATTTAGTTTACTTTACGAAAATAAAAAAAAACTGGCAAAATGTTGATACATTGATTACATAATTTTTCGTATTTTTTAAGAAAATGACCTTAAAATTATAGCTGATAAACGTAAATAGTTTTAATTTGAATAGTTTGAATTTATAGCAGTAATCCCCGGAATAGAAATATAATACAAATATAACACGCCTAAGTGCAGGGTTAACCTCCCTAATGTCTCACGTCTCCTGTGTTGGCATACACAATTTTAACAAGCCGATTTTTCCAATATCAACATTTAATTGCATTCAGAGATCTTTAAAAATCAATTATAGGGTTTTTATCTATTTAATATCAACATAGTCATTGACAAGATAAAGGGAAATTCAAACTCAAACACAATTTATGAGATCATATGTTATTCAACGATGATACAGTCTGTTGATCATACATTCGATATATACTCAAACGTAATATACAATTCTAAACATTATACGTCGGGACATCCTTTCTAATTTCTGTGCATTGCGATTAAGGACCTTGATCAAAGCACATAACAATGAGGATCTTGTTTCTTGTGTCGATCGTTTGTATCTATGCAGTTCATGAAACAAATGCATGGTAAGTGGAAATGTTTGTACTTTAGTTATTAAAAAATCATTGATATTCACGGTATATCATCGCCTTATTAGGTCAATGTCTAAGAGCAGGTCATTTTTACAAAAAAATTCAAGAATACGAGAGTTTTTAATTCCAAATCTGCTGTTTCGCAGACAAAATAACACGCTCTTACCAATGCTTAATTGTACTTAATCATAATTCAAGGGGTTCCTGTGGCTACAAGGGTAAAGTGTACAAGACTGGGGCCAAATTTAAAGACGAATGCAATAGGTGCAAATGCAACTTCAACCCTATCAAAGATTTCGTGACTTGCACCAAGAAAAACTGCGAAGAGAAATGCAAATTTAAAGGTAAATGTATTATTTATCTGGGATACAAATGGTTAATCATTGGACAGACATAAACGGGGATATGGGTGATAAAGTTCTGTACCTTTTCGTAGGCTAAACGATTTAAAAGGCCATGTATTGAACTCCCGATTAGATAAACCATGGAAAAACAATAAAAGTACAATAACGTCATTTCGAAGGGCAATATAGTGAAATATTGGACCGACGGACGAAGAAATGCCCGCAGAAATGACGTTATTAGTATTATTACCACCGTTAATGACCAGGTCTGAAACAGCAAGAAAATCTTACGCACTGAACAATGTCTAATTTCCCGGGGAAAATTGCCAGTCAAGAATTGCGTTCTTGACCGGGCAATATGGACCACCACTATGACGTCACATATTGCTCAGGTCGATATTGTAAAATGAATGCCTTCTAAACTAGCACTAAAACCCCTATAACTGGCCCAGCAAGGTGGTAATAATAATTTTTTCTAAATAATCGCTTTAAACACATACTATGTCAATTTTATCAATTTCAGACTGTGAAAGTACAAAATGTCCCAGTATTTCTTGTCCACAAGGTTCACATATACCTCCGGGAAGATGCTGTCCAGTGTGTAATATGAAACGTAAGTATAAAATGTTCCAGTATTACTTGTCTACAAGGTTCACATATACCTCCGGGAAGACGCTGTCAAGTGTGTAATATGAAACGTAAGTATCTAATATTATACAAAATGTCCCAGTATTACTTGTCCATAAGGTTCACATATACCTCCAGGAAGACGCTTTCCAGTGTGTAATATGAAACGTAAGTATCTAATATTATACAAAATGTCCCAGTATTACTAATCCACAAGGTTCACATATACCTCCAGGAAGACGCTTTCCAGTGTGTAATATGAAACGTAAGTATCTAATATTATACAAATTGTCCCAGTATTACTTGTCAAAAAGGTTCACATATACCTCCGGGAAGATGTTGTCCAGTGTGTAATATGAAACGTAAGTTTCTTATATTATACAAAATAACCCAGTATTACTTGTCAAAAAGGTTCGTATATACCTCCGGGAAGATGCTGTCCAGTGTGTATTATGAAACGTAAGTATCTAATATTACATAAAATGTCCCAATATTACTTATCCACAAGGTTCACATATGTCTCCGGAAAGACGCTGTCCAGTGTGTAATATGAAACGTAAGGTTCTTATATTATAATACGAAATGTCCCAATATTACTTGTTCACAAGGTCCACATATACCTCCGGGAAAATGCTGTCCAGTGTGTAATATGAAATGTAAGGTTCTTATATTATAATACGAAATGTCCCAATATTACTTGTTCACAAGGTTAACATATACCTTCGGGAAGACGCTGTCCAGTGTGTAATATGAAACGTAAGTATCTAATATTATACAAAATGTCCCAGTATTACTTATCCACAAGGTTCACATATACCTCCAGGAAGACGCTGTCCAGTGTGTAATATGAAACGTAAGTATCATTATACAAAATGTCCCAGTATTACTTGTCAACAAGGTTCACATATACCTCCGGGAAGACGCTGTCCAGGGTGTTATACGAAACGTAAGTATCTAATATTATACGAAATGTCCCAGTATTACTTATCCACTAGGTTCACATATACCTTCAGGAAGACGCTGTCCAGTGTGTAATATGAAACGCAAGTATCTAATATTATATAAATTGTCCCAGTATAACTTGTCAAAAAGGTTCACATTATATTATATTTCCTCCGGGAATATGCTGTCCAGTGTGTAATATGAAACGTAAGTTTTATTATATTATACAATATGTCCCAGTATAACTTGTCCACAAGGTTCACATATACCTCCGGGAAAATGCTGTCCAGTGTGTAATATGAAACGTAAGTGTCTAATATTATACAAATTGTCCAAGTATTACTTGTCTAAAAGGTTCACATTTACCTCCGGGAAGATGCTGTCCAGTGTGTATTATGAAACGTAAGTTTCTTATATTATACAAAATGTCCCAGTATAACTTGTCCACAAGGTTCACATATACCTCCGGGAAAATGCTGTCCAGTGTGTAATATGAAACGGAAGTATCTAATATTATACAAAACTTCCCAGTATTACTTGTCAAAAAGGTTCGTATATACCTCCGGGAAGATGGTGTCCAGTGTGTAATCTGAAACGTAAGTATCTAATATTATACAAATTGTCCCAAACAGGATCTTAGGAGGTTCTGGACAAATCATTTGATTCTGGACTTGTCATATTTTTTTTTCAACGAAATCACATCCAAGGGTTGAATTTTTATTAGCTATTTAGAGAGCGAGTCCTGCCTAGTATTAATTTCAATAAAAAAGTTAAAATAGAACCCTATTTGAGAGTCAATCTAATACTTACATTACATTGATAAATTAAGGCAAATCCTGAAATATTTTTAAAGTGCGTTTTTTAATGAAATATTATCCAGCAAGTATTTAAATGAAACGGTCTTATTTAAATACAAATCATAACATGATATTTTTCATGAAACATTTTTCAATGAAATTCAATTGAAGGGTCAAGATAAAACGAGCAAATTTAGGTGAAAACCCTTACATGATGATGTGTTTTCATAACTTCTTTCATAAAATTCCATCAAGGGGTGAAGATAAAATGATCGAATTTAAGTGATTTAAGGATCACGAGAATATGTTTTCTTTGATATTTTCTATGAAATCCCATCCAATGGTCAAGGTAAAATTTTGATTTTGATTTTGATTTGGTCACGTGTTCGAAAGATCCATATAAGGCCCATAGAACCATATAGGAACGTCATTTTGAATGTCACGTGATAGATCCATATAAGGCTTTTAGAACCATTTATGGAAAGATGAGGGAAGCCCCTGACACCTGTTTCACGATTTTTATGCACTTCATTATTGTACCGAAGTTTGCCGATTCGATTCGTCGTATTTCGGAATCCTGGTGACAATTTTATACTCCATTGGAGTATTTTTGACCTACTTCTTATGACGGAAATTCCCGAACCTTGATCGAATTAATCCGGATTTTCTGACCTACCTTATCTACCGAGATTTCACGAGTTAACATTCGTCTCATTCCGAAATCCTGGTGACAATTTAATACTCCATTGGAGTATTTTTGATCTACTTTTTCTGGATTTTGCCCTACTTATTATATCTTGACAACAAGCAAATCAAAAAGTTCGACATGAACGGGTCTCGATCAACTAACCTAGACTATGGAAGCCAGGCACGCTAACCATTAGGCCAACGAGCTACCGATATGAAAGAACAAAAGTATTATATATTTATACCGAGCGTCAATTCAAAATGATCCTCACTTTTGTCTCCACTTAAATACGACTCGTCAGTTGTATCCAGAATAGTAGAACGCCTATGGCGCTAGTGAATAACCAAGTCCCAGGTGAGTGGTTCGTATCCCTCCGTGATATACTATTTTTGTTTTATTAAATACGACAGAAAGGAGCAAGGTGTAGGTTGAAAACAAGACGTTAGTTTGTTTCAAAACAGTTTGGAAACATTAATCTCTGATAATTTAAGGTTTTCCACTCCTGAAGGGCCTCTAGATCTATGAAATTCAATAATCCACTCAGTAAAAATACGATTTCTCTGCAACCTGATGTCCAATCAAGATCATTCAAATATATATGTGTTCCTGACACGTTTGGGCGTCCGGGAATAAAATTGCTTGTGAAAACTATTTACAAAAGTGTTCCAGAGACCCTTATCTACTTGGCTAAGGTTTTATTTGAAGATACATTGCCTTATTAGCAGGTAGAGGGGCATACAGACAGAAGCAAATGCTATGTTGAAAATTTTCTATATTTCAATTTGAACCAATTTGAATGCAGGGTTAGAGTGAGAAAATCTATGTCTGATCCTTTCTTCGTTAACCAGGGAGCCCATCAGGGGGGTGTCTGTAGTTTGATGCTCTATATGCGTTTCACAAATAGCATCTTAAAGGAACTCGAACAAAGCAATGCTGGATGCAGAATCGGCAATATTAATGTAACCTCACCCACATACGCCGATGACCTGATCCTCATGGCTGTGTTCCCAAGGTCCTTACAAACATTACTGGACATAGCATATCGTTTCAGTACGCGATGGCGTTTCACCTTCCACCCTGGGAAGTCAAAAACGTTGATGGTTTGCACTAAAGAGAGACAGGGCCGCAAAGACTTGTGTTTTTACCTTGGACCAGATAAAATGGATCATGTCAGAGAATGTACACATGTGGGTCTCATTTTAAATACAAATGGTAACTTGAAACAACATATTGATAATGCAATGGGAAAGGCTAGAAGGGCTATCAACGCGGGAGTGGGGCTTCTCAGCAGTGACTCCTTCGAATACAATCCACTGACGGCCTCTATTTTATATTGGTCCATATCGGTACCATCCATGACATACGGTATGGATATCCTGCCATTGAAACAATGTGATTATGATACCCTTGAATTGACACATAGACAAATAGCAAAACGTATTCAACAATTGCCATGTAATGTGCATAACGAAGCTTCCTTGGCACAACTGGGCTGGTCGAGGATTCGTGCGGTCATAGATACAAAAAAGTTAATGTTTCTGTGGTGTATCCTAAATCTACCAACCACATGTGTGTATAAAATGATTTTTATAATTGAGTTCTTTAGATGGAAGTCAATTTCTGAACATTCAAAGTTGTATAGCAACTATTCAGTAATAAATGCAGTTTTGAACCTTGTGACAAGATACAATTTATGGCGATATATTGATGAATATTTTTTGAATTATGACCTGATGCCCAAATGTGCGTGGAAACAGATTGTTAAAGCACGCATAATGCAGTATGAAGAAGACAGATGGCACTTGTTATGTAACATATCTTACAGACTTAGCGTTTATAGAACGATACAAGTTACGATAAAACCATGCGTATGGTGGAGAATCTGTCAATCGAATTGTTAATATATAGGGATGTGTAGGGATATGGTAAAACTGCTAACAGGTGCTTTCCCACTCAACTATGACACTATTTGTCCTCTGTGTGGGATGACAAATGAAACGACAAGGCATTTTCTCTTAGATTGCCTTGAACTTCATGAAAGTAGGAGTGACTTGTTGGCAGTTTTAAGTGACAGAATATTTGATGGATATAATATGGTTGAAAAAATGGAGGTCTTACTAGGAAAAAATGAAGCATTAGACTACAGAATGTATGTGAAGATAATGTTAAGTGTCAAACACATGTTAAAAACAAGAGCTGCAGCTATAGCTCTATAAACTATTAAATCAACACAGTTTGCGTTGTAAATATATATATTTTTATTTTTATATTTTTAATATTGCCACATTAACTTTATAATTATTATGTACTCATCTGCATAGGTGGAAATAAAGATACATAAACATAAACATAAACCTGTGTTTACATGTCACGTAGGCCAGTGTTTTATATGGGGATTATATCACACTACCCTACCACGTGACCACGTTTAAAAGGGAAACAGGATACAGCTTAGTTGCAAATGGAGGACGTGGGTTTAATTCCATATTTCTGAACGTAAAATACATTTTACATATATTTCTAGTGTTCTACCAGACATAGATTTGATTCATCAAGGAG